ACTCATAGCAGGAATCTAGAAAACTTAAATAAGGGACCAGGAAAATGAATAACTATAAGAAAGTGAAAATCAAAATCAACAAAAAACTATGAACCAGAGACACTTTGGGGGGGGTGGGGGGCGGGAGGGGAGGGATTGGGATCAGAAAGGGGGTGTTACAACTGTATGGGGAATATAAAAATAAAATTTATTATTTAAAAAAAATAAATAAATAAAACCAAATCGTGGGTTTTCACATTGGAAATCATACTCATTCAATGAAAATGTCTAGACATGTAAGTCCTTAAAAAGAAATCAAAACATTTGTTTCTATAATTTTTCTAGTTTGCAGAATGTTTTAAGGCCCATTCTTCATGGTTAATCACCTTTCTGTTCAGGCCAGAATAAACTGAGGCTAAAATGCAGGCTCATATAAGAATACAAGTATGATTTCCCTGGTCTTTCTATTAGTGCAATGCCAGTCTCCTCCCACGTCAAACCTATAGCCACAGCTGGGTTCCATGCAAATAGACTTCTTGTCTCTATTTATATTGGCCAAGTATCTGCCGTGGACACCTGGAGAACAGCACAAAAGTGCTGTAGACCCACTGACAACTGAGGTACTGCTGTGCCAAACTCCCTGCAGCTGCTCCCCAATGCTTTGCCCTGCCAGAAGGTTAATCCCTGCCAGAAGGAACCTTAGACTTGTGGCAAGCTTTTGGGCCTCAGCTTGCCACAAGTCTAAGTTTCCTTCTGGCAGGGAATCACAAGGAAGGTGCTAGGCAGGTCCCAGAGAGCTAGGACAGAGGAGAGACTCAAATTTTCACATATACCACATAATCCAACACAAACCCAAGATAATGGCTGCCATTGTCCTGCCAAGAACAGGTACAGTTCCCCATGTATCTCTCACCCATGAGTTTCTTTCAAGTGTCTCTACATGTCTCTCTTACATGTATCTCCTTCCATGTACCAGCAATACCAGGGTGTAAGTCAGAGCCAAAAAACAAGAGAAACCTGAGCACGCTCCCTTTCAATTACAAGTCGAGCATGGCCAATTATCTGCCCCTAGGTCCCAGCAGCCCCCCACTCAGGGAGTTAGGATCATGGCATACGAGGAGTTGTAATTTTTACGCCTGAGATCTCTTCTGCATGGAAATGTGGGTAGTCTGTACAAATGTCAGGATGTGGATTGTTCTCTAACAGAGAGTCTCCTCTTACTTCACTCTTAGGTTACACTCTGAAGTTCTGAGGCCAGGACAAATAATGTCTCATAGAAAACTTGGCAAAAGCAGCTTTTTCAGATTTTACTCAAGGTCCCCTTTTCATAAAATTCTACACGATTGGTGGGTTCAATAGCAGAAGCTGGACAGACCCTGTAACTCATCCTCTATTCCGATGCTGAATTTATATGCTGGACTAAGCATGCTGGACTATGCTCTCATTTCCCAAAGGAGAAAGTCTTCTTTGGAACCTCCACTTTCTCAGGCAATTAAGTGCTGTCTGTTCTAGCCCACATGACCTACACATATTCCAAATGTGTGGAGAACACGTTCTTAAGGTGCTTCTTTAGGGTCCTTAAGAAAAATAAAGCTAATAATTATAGCTGATATTTAATTTGCAATTTATATATACTAGGGTATGAATTGAGTAATATCAACCTGGAAAATGAGGGTGAAAAGTTTTAAAAACTTGCGCAAGTTCACATACTAGGATTTGAAGGATTCAGTAATTGAATACTGATCTTTCTACTAAATCCAGAAGTTACACTCTTAACCAGTATAGTGTACTGATCACATCACATAGAGCATTTCTGGTACAATGTGGGATGGTCCTACACAAAGGTATGAATAATAGGAGACAAAGGTCTTACTCGGGTTGCTATTCTTTTTTTTTTTTTTAACAGTTTTCTTTTTAAAGATTTATTTATACAAGAACTGGGGTACAGTCAGAGGTGCGGGAGGGTGAGAGAATTCAACAGAGACAGAGTGGGGAGCAGAACAGGCAGATGGACCGAAGACACTGGTGAGGGGAGCAGGGGGCACGGCGGAGAGGTCTGCTGGCCAGGATCGAACCTGCACTGCGGAGGCTGCGGACAGCTTCACAGCACCGCGCTCAACCCACTGTGCCACCAGGGAGGCCCTTAGGTTGCTATTCTTGAGATCAACCAGCTACCACATCTGCCAGCTCTTGAATATATTTAATCTAGGGTTCTAACCTGAATCTGCATTCAACTATGCACAAATTTTATTTTCTCTTATTTGTAGAATAAGAACATCCTAATTCAAAACCTCTAGGGTTAAAGGGCCTCAGACAACTAATTCTCTTCAGATTTTGAGTTCAACCTCTTTTTAAAATATATAATTTAAATCTCAGTAACATTCAGATAGTAATCACTGCTCCACCTTGAACTGAATGGTACCGCCCCAGGTTGTTCTTTGTCAGGTACAGGTAGACAAGCTGAGCACAAGGTTTGCGTTGTTCTGGCCATCTGCAACTTATGTAGTGTGCTGAATTGTTTTCAAACCCTTTTAGGGGTGTTTTCTGATCCACTGATAAGATTTTCCCTTGTTTGGTCTGGACACAGGTCCAAATTCTTTCTATGGAAGCTTTCATTTACTTTGAAATATTAAAACAATTTTGAGAATCAATACAAGAAATATGTTTATTTTTAATAAGTATGGTTTTCTTTTCAGTTAGTTTCAGAGGACTGTTACTTAAGATAAGATGTTAAAAAGGATTAAGTACATTTCTGAGCCATGACCATTCATCTCTAGGAGTCAGGATTAAACACTGTCAACAAAATGAGCAGTATCTGTGTTAACATTTTTATCCTAATAAAAACAAAGTATCTGTGTTAACATTTTTATCCTAATAAAAATAATCTATGCTTTCTGGAAATGTTTGTGTTTTCTTGTATAAGTTTTCTTGTGTAAAACACGTAGTCAAGTCTATTTTTATTTTCAATTTATAGTCACTATAAAATAATGTTTATCAAGCAGGTTATCTTTTAAAATAATACTTTCAGGGCTTCTGTCACTAAGTCACTATTAAAATTAAAAATATTATGTTGCAGTGTTAAGATTAGCAGCCTTAATTCTTAAAGGCTCTAAAGGCTATCCAGTAAGGTAGCCACTAGCCTCATGTGATTACTGAGTATTTAAAGTGTGGCTAATCCAATTGCAATGTGCTGTAATATGTACTGGATTCTTAACATTTAGTGTGCAGGGAATGAAAAATGTAAGATCAGAAATTTTTAATATAAGAAAGTAAAATGTCACCATCATATCTCCATTGAGCACATGATGAAGTGATAATGTTCTCACTACATTGAATTAAATATATTTTGATGTCAATTTGGATTCACTCATTTCTTCATAGACTTTTTTTTTTAATATTTTTTTTTATTTATTTGTTTGTTTGTTTTGTTTATACATGCACTGGGTACATTCAGAAGCACGGGAGGGTGAGAGAATTCACCAGAGCCAGAGCGGGGAGCAGAGCAGGCAGAAAGACCGAAGTACACTGCTGAGGGGAGCAGCGGGCGGCAGGAGAGGTCTGCGCGCCATGTGGGACCCTCCTCTGGTGGCCGGGGAGCAGCCGGGGATCGAACCGGCGCCGCAGAGGCCGCGGGCAGCTTCGCAACCGAGCGCTCAACCGCTGCGCCACCTTGGAGGCCCAGACTTTTAATATTTAGTGTTGCCAGATAAAATATAGGGCTCCCAGTTACATGAATTTCTTATGTCCCCGCATATATTTTCATACCATAAAATGGTTTCTGTAAAATTCAGATTTTAACTGGTTGTCCTAAAATTTTATGTGCAAAATCTGGTAAATTATATTAATATGGCTACTGGAAAATTTTTCATTACAAGGGAAACACTTACTCTAGTGGACAGTGAAGTTTTGGAATCATCTAGTTGCTTTTATTATTATTACCAGTCAACTCTTGAGTTAACCCTGCAGAAATAACTAATCTGAGGAGGAACATTTAATCCTAGGCTGAGAGCACCAATAATCTTAAAGTTAAATTTTTACATTTGTTTTAACAAGTTGAAGGACAACAAGAGCCCACTACTGACCAAAACGAGGAAAGGGCATTTGGATGAGAACTAATCCCAACTAATTCATTTTATTCATCCAAACCATTACTTAAAAGATCTTTGAACTAAAAGTCATTGCTCCCAGCCTCAGCTGTTGTACCTAACGGTTCCAGTTTCTAGTTAAACGCTGTAACTCTTATAAGGTGGGCGGTGTCCTGGGCGTCAACCAGACCTGAGACTCCCGCCCAGTCATTCCCCCACAGCCCTCCACAAAAAGTACGAAAGGGGTGGCATTTCTTTTTAAAGATTTATTTATGTATGTCTACAAGAACTGGGGTACAGGCCAGAGGTGTGGAGGCTGAGAGGCTTCACCACAGACAGAGTGGGGAACAGAACAGGCAGACTGACTGAAATACACTGCTGAGGGGAGCAGGGGCGAGTCAAGAGAGGTCTGCCGCGCCATGTGGGTAGCTCCCTAGCCAGCCGAGGCATGGAACTCGGGCTGCAGAGGCTGCGGACAGCTTCATAGGCTGCGTCTTAACCCCTTGCGCCACCAGGGAAGAGGGGTGGCATTTTTAATACGTGAGCCTCGCTGCCCCCTCTCCCGCCTGTCTCCTCCCTTATCTTGGCGCTGGGAAAGTGCGCTCGGCCACGGACGCCGGGTCTCCCCAAAGCGCGCAGGGCTACTTTGACTGCACCCTTGGGGCCGGGCCCGCCCCCCCGCCGTCACATGCGCCGCAGCTCCGCCCGTGTCCGCGCCGCCCGGCTGGCAGGCGGGGCCTTGCGGCCCAGGCGCAGAACCCGCCCCGGCCTCGCGCTCTCTTAAGGCCGGCTGCAGCGGCCCGAGCCCCGACACGGCTCAGCCCGCGGACGGTGCCCGAGGTCGGGGCGCCGCTCGGCCGCGCGGTAGGTGCCCGGCGCGCACGCGCACGCCGCCCCGCCCCGCCCCGCCCCCGCCCCGGCCCCGGCGCGCCGCCGCGTCCCGCGACCCCGGGCCTCCCGCCGCGGGCAGCCGAGGGCGGCATGAGGGACTACGACGAGGTGACCGCCTTCCTGGGCCAGTGGGGGCCCTTTCAGCGCCTCATCTTCTTCCTGCTCAGCGCCAGCATCATCCCCAACGGCTTCAACGGCATGTCCATCGTGTTCCTGGCGGGGGTCCCCGAGCACCGCTGCCGGGTGCCCGAGTCCGCGAACCTGAGCGGCGCCTGGCGCAACCACAGCGCCCCGCTGCAGCGGCTGCAGGACGGCCGCGAGGTGCCCCACAGCTGCCGCCGCTACCGGCTCGCGGCCGTCGCCAACTTCTCGGCGCTGGGGCTGGAGCCCGGCCGCGACGTGGACCTGCAGCAGCTGGAGCAGGAGAGGTGCCTAGATGGCTGGGAGTTCAGCCAGGACGTCTATCAGACCACCATCGTGACCGAGGTGGGTGCCAGCCCCCATGCGGACCTCCCTTTGCAGTCTTTGAGGGTGTGCACCACACACACACACACACACACACCCCTCTCCCTGTATGCTGTCACGCCTTGCCTCCCAACACACTAGACACACACACACACACACACACACACACCCTCCCTGTATGCTGTCACGCCTTGCCTCCCAACACACTAGACACACACACACACACACACACCCTCCCTGTATGCTGTCACACCTTGCCTCCCAACACACTAGACACACACACACACACACCCCTCTCCCTGTATGCTGTCACACCTTGCCTCCCAACACACTAAACGCTACCGACGGCCGTACCAGTCAGTAGGTCGACTCAGGAATGAGAGGACTTCCAGTCAGAGTATTCCTCTCCCACCACGGTTGTCAGGCGGACCACCCATCCTTAAGGCCACCTTGGAGAGGGAGCCAGAGGCCTGGCAGGCCCTGAATGAGAGAGGCAGAAGCAGAGCCAGAATCTGGACCAAGGGACTGTCACCATTTTTTTCTCCAGCTTCTTGGCATCCACACACTCCTTTACAGAACTTTTGTTTTTCTATTTTATTTATTTCTTTATTTTTCCCAACACCATCCCTTATGCTCTTTGTCCCTGCAATGACAGGACAGTCATAACTTGTAAAGAATTGTTTACTTTTTATTCATTTGCTCATGGTGACTTGTTACTCTGAAATAGTCTAAGGATTCAGTCACAGCATACAACTTTCATTCATAGGGAGTATGGGAAATCTTTACCATTTCCCAGCCTCTTGGATTTTCCATTTTGGTTTTTTTTTTTAAAGATTTATTTATTTATTTATACAAGCACTGGGTACAGACAGAAGCACGGGAGGGTGAGAGAATTCACCAGAGCCAGAGCAGGGAGCAGGGAGCAGAACAGGCAGACCGACGAAACACACTGCTGAGGGGAGCAGTGGGTGGCAGGAGAGGTCTGCACTCCATGTGGGACCCTCACTGGCGACTGGGGATCGAACTGGCGCTGCAAAGGCTGCTGGCAGCTTCCCAGCCCAGCACTCAACCGCTGCGCCACCTGGGGAGGCCCTCTTGGATTTTCCTTTTGATTGACTTTGTTACCCCACATTCACTGGAGCTGCATGTATGACATGATGTTGGTGCACTAATCCCCTGCAACTTTAGCAGAACTCAGCAAGCAGAACAGTAAAGAGTCCTTATTAAGCACCAATGCACCAACTTTACCGAAATCCACCATTAGGGATTTGCAGATGAGGGAAGGCTGCTTAGCAAGGAAGCCTCTCAGTGAATCTGGGATAATTCCATTCAACAGTATACTGAGGGAAAAGCCTAGATGTGAAGTTGGAATGGCAAGAAAAGTAAGGTAGCAGGAGGTCAAAGTTCACAGAGCGGGAACTGAAGGGGAGAGTACATAAGACCTGATATGACATCAGACTCTGCTGAAGCCTCAGAGGAATTTACAAGGGTTCTGAGTGCCCAACAAGTGTCACTTCTGCAGTTTCTGTAGGTTTGGACATTTTATGTCCCCAGCACCTGTATTGGATTACTTCATATATAGTGTCACCTGAGCCCTCCTGGGATCTCTTAACTAGTGACAATGTCCTGAGACATCGTTGCTTAATAGGCGTTACTGAGTGCAGGTAACTGATTGTACCTTGAGACCTGGAGAACATGGAGAATCAGAACCTCAGTCATCACAAATCCTCAGTCCCTGCCACACAAGTGAGTCTGTCAGACTCGTAAGAACCGTGCAAGTAGAGGTTGCCTGCAGAGACCACAGAAAGAAGCCCTACTCTGTGACCCAGGAGTGCCTGCAAATTCTGCACAGCATCTCTTTTTATTTTGCCCCGATCCCACCGGTTCTTCAGCTGTTTTGCTCTGGCTTTCCTGCCTCTGTCCTGGCTGACAGCAATGATGACTCCAATGCGTGCCCCGCAAAGGCCAGCAGTGGAGAGGGGCTTTCAGCTGGCTGCCAAAGTCAATCTTTGTTTTTTATATTAACCTATTTATTTAGCTGTCTTAGCAGTTTCGCAAGAGCTGTGTGCCCTTTCACCCACTTACAGGTTGTAGGTCTTTGCAGGAGGCTAGACTAATACATTACTTAGCCCTTTGTTTTGGGATGCTGGAATGTGCAATTTTAAGTTCAGGCTGCTTCTTCCTCTCAGATAAGCAGTCACTGTTGGAAGCTGTTGTGTTAACATTCCAATGGCTCCATTTTTCTAAGACCTATTTTTTTTCAACCCAGACCTGGCCTGCTGACCACTGCAGCTAGTCTCGTGCCTGCTAACTATCTCCAAGCCTTCCCTCTCCCCCAAATCATACTTAAGAGGTGTTTGTAAGTACACTGGCATTGAATTCTTACTCAAGTTTTTCAACAGAAGGCAAAAAATCCCCAGATCACCTGTTAAATTTTTTCCCCTTTGTTGAACTTTTAGTGCTAAACTTTGTGGTCAATTTATATCTGCATTTCTCGCAAGTCCTGACAAGATGTTGGATACAGAGGGAGATACAACACAGGAAGATTTTTGCTGTTTGGATTAATGAATAACTTAAGAATGCTTCTGTCAAGTTTGAGAACCGAAGAAGAAAAGGACAGTTTAATTTGTGAAGGGCAGCTTGGGAGTGTTCAAAATACGTTGACTGCAATACTTTAAAGGCAGTGTAATCCTCCACTCCACAAACTATGTGAATCTGCAACAAGGCGCTAGGATTGGCAGAAAGAAGGGAATATTATTTATGAGGTGAAAGGTTGTTATCCAGTGTTTCAGGGACAGTTTGGTCCACCATGTGGTCCTAGGCTGGCTCTTTCCCTGGCCCTTCAGTTATCCCTATAATGCTCGGGTGGCCCCATCTTGCAGTGCAGCTCATATCCCTGACTGCTTTTGGGCCCAGGACTGCTCCTCTTCGGGGAATCTGAGTGATTTCTGAGGTTGTCTGCATCATATTTTGGTTTCTTCATAGCCCAGTCTGCAGCCAGAAAGATTCCTTTAGAAGATTCTAGCTCTTCTGGATCCAATGAGTTGGGATCTCTTCAACTAAGACATAACAGTCCTCTGTGTCCACTTGGGCTCCCTCTCTGCCCCCAGACACCTCCCGCTTCAGCCCTTGGCAGCACATTGACTCACTCCATCTAGTCCTGAAAAGCCTTTCTCTCGACAAACTTTTCTATCTGCTTATCTCATGCATAGACAGTCTTTGAAGATAAGCGATTCCCAACTTTTATCCACAAGCCAGACTAAAGGAAAAGCCATTTCAACCTTGGAGGCAGGCCACGACATATTGGGACCAGGAGCCCTGGAGCTTGTACCTCCTTGCTCTGCTTTGTGACCTTTGTCACCCAAGGGCGTGCAGACCCTTGTTGCTGCCTTTGTACCTCATGGCGAGCCAGGAAGCATCTTGCTAGAGTCCTGAGGTATCCTGTGTGTGTGCAATCATAGCAGACCCATCTGGTTGAGTGGCCACGTCAAGCACCTCTCTAGCTAGCTGAGAACCAACTGCAGGATCAAAGTTCTGACACTGACACTAGGAATGGGGTGAGAGAGCAAATAAAGTATTATAGAGATTGAAGTTCAGCATTCATCTGAGCTCTGGGCAGCCAAGCCCAAGGTCCAAGCCCTAAGGATACTAAGGTGTTGAAGGTTGACAGCCTTTTTAGTCATCTATTCTCTCACTCACTTATTTACCAAACAACTACTGAGCCTCTCTTCTGTGCATAGTACTGCCAGGCACTGTAGCAGATATAGTAGCAAGTTCTCTGCTTCTTGCCTTGAGAGCCTTGGGGCAAGATTCTATAATTAATTGCAGTTGGAGACAGGACGAAATGTATGTACGAATACTTGCTGTTCAGTAACAGCTGGTACTCACCACTATGACCATGAAGTGGTCAGGCTAGGTACATGTCATGAAAGAGTTTCTGCCCCATGGGCACAGACTCTCTCTTTTCCCTTCTGGCTAACTCACAGGTAAGAACATTTAGTCCCAGGAAACAACATCATCCCTCTGCTTCCCGTAACTGAGAAGCAAGACCAATCATATGTGGCATATAAAGAGACACAGTTCTTTCCCAAATTTTACATTTTACTGACGTAGAAATGGCATAAAATAAACGGCTCGTCACTAAAGTGTGTAATTTGAAAATTTTTGATACACACAAACCTACCATTGAAACCATCACCACTAGACAGGGACATATCCGGCCAGAGCAGTGGCAGTCTAGCTCCCTTGCCGGAGCTGCTCCCAGACTTTTTCAGCTTGTGCCTGCTTTCATGGCTATCCCATCTGAGGGGTAACAGCGCTAGACTCATGACCTCTATGTACCTTCAACCCACACCTTTAGTTCTGACATTGGTACCTGTTATCAGTCATCCCGTACACCAAGTAGAGGCATTGAGGCGCTGGTCTGTAGCTGCTTTAATCACAGCTGGGAATCCTGCTTAATGTAGAGATACTCAATGCAAAAAGCCTGGGGTATGTAAGGTGGGCTCGGTGGGCTTCTCATTCCCACCCCTCCTAAAGAGGATTCAGTCCAAGTCCTGGGGCGCATTATGGTACATCTGGTGGTGGACAGGTAAGTGGACACATTGACTGGCTGGAGTGTGGTCCGTGACTACGTTTGTGTTCTTTTTTGGAGCCGTAACACCTTTCCTGACCCTACTCACAGATACCCTGACCAGTAGGAAGAAAGTGTTAACATCTGTTTGCTTTGGAGAATTGTCCAGAACTGGCAGTGGTGGATAGAAAGCAGTTACTCCAGGGCATTATACACTTGCCCAGAGTAAGGACAGACTGACCCAAGTACAGCAGCGAAAGAGATGCTCTGGGGACCTACCCTGACGTGAGACCCCAGAATCTTGTCTCTAACAAAGCATAGTCTGACCTGGCTTTAGAGAGCACCTAGCCATGCCTGCCCAGAATTCCCTAGAAGTCTCATGTTTAGAAACCTGACATGGGGCTTGTGGGTAGGGTGCTGTAATCCCAGAACTCACTGCAGAAACCCAGGTGGATTTCTAGCCTATCTCTGCTATGGCAGTCCCCAGCCCTCATAAGAGACCTGTTGAAAAACAACTGCTGATTCTTTATTCATTTTCCATCTCTGTGGCCACAAAAGTAATATATACTGGGAATTGATCTCAGTGTACTCAGGAGTGGCAATAGCCATCATCTAGTTCCTCAAGTTCCACTGAACCCCCAGAGGGCAGCCCATCATCAAGTCCCTCAGCTTTGTCTCCTCCCCCATTCCCTGGCTTTAGCAGCCATGCCTGGACAGGGGTTACCCCAGGAGCCCTGACCCTCCAACCAGAGAGATGGTGTCTGGGTGCTGGCACCACTGAGACACTCATGGTAGCAAAGATACTGGAGCCTGTGCATTCGGGCCTTGGTGCTCCGATATTCTTGACTCCTGCTAGTCTGACTTTCTAGATTTAGGAGTTGGAGGCTTCCCTGCAATGGGGATCACTATCCCCTTTTCAGCCCATCCAGGGTTCACATGCTTATGCCAGAGTGAAGAACCAGCAGTGTGCCTGAGTGACCCTCATCCACCAGTTGGGTTGGGCATGGGGGGTTAGGGGGGCTCTTCATGTCTAGCCTGAGGTGCCTCGAGGCCATGTGCTCTACCTCCCAATGGGACAGAGAAACAGACTTGTTTTTCCCACTTTCACTGGCCCGGAAGAGATGCTTTGTTCTAGCAAGCTGCACACATCCCCTGCCCCTGTTTGTTACTGGGGAGCCAGCAGGCTCCATGGTGGGCCAGCCAGCAGCCTGGCGCCAGGCAAGCAAGGCTCTAAATTCCTTGGAGAGTGGCCTTCTTGGTTACTACTGAGCAGCATCTCTGTTCTGGGAAACATTTTTCTGGGAACCACCAAGCTTCCTGTTTTGGCTTTTCTTCCTTTTCTTGACTCCCTGGCAGGCTGGGCTAATGTCTGAGTGTTTAGTTGCATCCCTGTGCCCACAGACCTCTGGTCATGGTAACAATGGATGTAGCTATACATCGGTGCTGGGAAATTCAAGTAATATCACCTGTGCCTTACCCCAGTCTCCGTCTTACACATGAGGAAATTAAGGCACAGTGATGTGGGGAAAACAAGCTGAAGTTGGATAACCAGTTAATAGCAGACTAGAAGTTAAAGCACTGTTTCTTGACTCCCAGGCTATCATTGGACCTGGTATTGTTGGCACAGCATCAGAGTCCAGCTCTAAATGTCACCAGGAGGGCCCAGGCATCATTCAAGGTGGGGCCTGAGTAGAGCTAAGGGATGTATACAGATGATGCATGCTGGACCTTCTGACCTCAGTCATTTGCTGGATGCCTTGACCCAAAGAGCCTGAGAGTCACTCTCATGCCATTCGTTATAGTGGCCTGAACCTCACCTGTCCACTGCCCTGGGCTCTGCCCAGAATCATTGCCTTCTCCTAGGTTGACATGCAGGGAGAGTACTTGCTTCCTGTGTATTTCCCCTTCTTAAAGTGGAGGTTCAGCCCTGGACCTGAAAGCTAAGGGAAAAAAAGATGGGGCAGAAGCCCACTTTCCCTCTGAGGGGGAACCTCCTCTCTGCTTTGCTGTCTGGATTGGCCATTGCCTGCCCAAATGAGCCCACACACCACATGGTAATGTGAACAGCATGCAGGGATGTAGGATGCTCTGAAGTCATTTTCCAAAAAGCTTTATATTTAAAACATTTTAAAAATAACATTTAAAAATAACATTTTAAAAATAACCCTTTGCTTCTCTTACAGTGGAACCTGGTGTGTGAGGATGACTGGAAGGCCCCGCTCACAATCTCCTTGTTTTTCGTGGGTGTCCTCGTGGGCTCCTTCATTTCAGGGCAGCTCTCAGACAGGTAAGGTGGGTGTCTGTTTCCTAAAACTGCAGGGGAACCCCATATCAAACAAGGAGCATAAATGTGCCTGGCCAGTGACTTCAGATGGTGGTGTTCTCTCAGCCTAGGACCTTGGGATTTAAAAGAAGGGAATCTGTGTCTACAGTATAAACTCCATACCAAATAAGAACCAACAGCCTCCTCTCCCTAATGCTGGCTGATCTAAGCAACTGAGCCAAGCCTATCCATGACTCAGTTGACCGGAAACAGGCCATGCTTCACTTCTGCACCAGCCTGGCTGGTCTTCCCTGAGTGATTCTCATGTCCCCATGCATGGGAGAGGTAGATACCACACACACACACATACACTCTCTCTCTCTCTCTCTCTCTCTCTCTCTTTGCATTCCCCATACTGAGGCTCTCTTTGCAAGGTGAGAGAGTTCACTAGCCAGTAGTGGCATGATGGATGGTGCTGATGCTCCTTAGTTAAAGGTCTGTGGTAATGGCTCTTCTCTCCAAGCAGAGAATGTTGTTTTGACCCATTAGCAGGTTGTTTGTGAAGTCCCACGACTATTATTTTATTTTTTTTAATGTTCTTTTTTTTTAATTAAATTTTTATTATTATTATTTATTTATTTATACAAGCACTGGGTACAGTCAGAAGCACAGGAGGGTGAGAGAATTCACCAGAGCCAGAGCGGGGAGCAGAGCAGGCAGAAGGACCGAAGTACACTGCTGAGGGGAGCAGCGGGCGGCAGGAGAGGTCTGCGCGCCATGTGGGACCCTCCTCCAGTGGCCGGGGAGCAGCCGGGGATCGAACCGGCACTGCAGAAGCTGCGGGCAGCTTCGCAACCCGGCGCTCAACCGCTGCGCCACCAGGGAGGCCCCCACGACTTTTAATTCAATGACCTTTCATGGTTTAAGGAGTCTATCTACTCTTAAAGTCATATGTAAATGTTTAGAGATAATCCATGAGCATTTCTCTCTTTTTTTTTTTTTTTTGAAAAAAGTATGTAGATTCCATGAAGTTTTCAGATGGGGCTAATGTGTTCATCTCCCTAGCCAGAGTTTCAGGGTCTGTCAGAAGCCCACTGTGAAAGAAGCAGTCTTCAAGGAGGTTCTTGGCTACAATGGCATGTGTAAGAACACCCACAGGATCCACCCATCCTGTGGGGTAGAGTCAATATCTTCCCAGGTCATGGAGGGCTGATAGAAAATGTCAGACTAGGAATGTTCTTACCTTAACAAAGCTGTTTTACCCTGTAGCACAAACTCAGGGTGGTAGTTTAGCATGTTTACATGTATAGGTTTTTGTCTTTACCTGAGAAGTTTTCCTCAGGAGGGTTATGTGTATTTCTTACTAGATTTGTCATCTAGCAATTTAAAAAAGGACAATTCTTGCAGTGACCAGTGAGCATTACAGGTGACCTTGACCACTGATCGATGGTTCTAGATGATGCTCAGACACTTGCCCCTTTAGAGGGAAGCCTTTGCTTCCCCAGATCCTTTTATTTTTATTTAACAAGCATGCAGCACTTACTATGTGCTAAACACAGGTATTTGCACTTTTTTTTTAAACAACAGCAATATAATCCTCATAAACCTATGAAGTAGGAAGTAGTATTATTCTCATTTTACAGATGGAGAAAGAGGGTTAAAGGAGTTGCCTGGAGTCTTACAGCCAGCAACTGATCCAGCAGAGCTAGGGTTTGGCCTCAGATCTTGAATCTAAGCAGCTCTTCTAGGGCCCTGCTGTTCTAGAACTTGCCTTCTAGCAAGGAAGACTGTATTAAACAACTAATTGAGGAAATACTTGTTATCCTGGCTGGGGCTAAGTGATAGAAAGAAAAAAATCCAGGATCCTCAGAGAGGACCGGAGGATGCCAGGAAAGCTTCCCTGAGATGGTAAAGCATGTGCAGGAGGGTAAATGTGAGTAGAGGTTAATCAGCTAAAGACTGGATAGAAGAAAAAACTTTCTGGACAGTGCCTCAACTCAAGAAGAGGTATAGCACTCGCTAGGACCTAGGGACAAAACCGCTGTTGGGAGAAGGGTGAGGAGGTGGTAGGGGCGTGAAGCAGTGGGGCAGGCAGAGGCCTGAGCAGAAGAGCAGGCCAGGCTCAGCAGGTCACTGTTAGGAGTTTGGATATTAGTCACAGAGCAGTGGGGAGCTATTGAGAGTTTTGTAAATCAGGAACATGACATAATCAGAATTGCATTTTTTAAAAAGATTATTTGATGACCTTGTGGAGAAAGCATTAAAGAATGCAAGAATGGTTGTGGAGAGGCCGATTAAAAGGTTATTACAATAATTTATACAGGAGATGGTGGTGACTTAGATTAGATTGAGGGTGGTCAAGATGGAGAGCAGTGGTAAGAGATAATTCCAACAGGATTTGTTGATGGGGGTAAGATGAAGAAAGTGAAGGGATGAAGATTTCTGGCCTGCACATCTGGGTGGATGATGTTACCCTTTTCTAAAACAGGGAACTCTAGGAGAGTTCAATTTGAATGTACTGAATTTGGGCCAACTCTGAGACTGCTAAGTGCAGGCATTGAAAATGCAGCTGGATATATGGACATAGTGCTCCTTGAGAGGTTTGGGCTGGAGAAACACATTTGGATGTTGTCAGCTCAGAGATCCTTTATCAAAGCCCTAAACATGCATGAGATTGCTTGGGGGATAACGTAGAGTGAAAAGAGGGGTACCTGTGACTGAGTTTAGAAACCCTTCACTGAGAATGGTGGAAAGTCTCCTCCTACCAGGCTGAGTGACAGGTTGGACTTCGAGGCATTACCTCAATGTGAAAAACAAGTTGGAGGTACCCCAAGTTCAGAGTTGAATCTCTGTGCATTTTTCCTGGGTCAACTATGTCATGCATTAGGTAAATCTTTGAGCATTAACCTAAGTACCCGATTACCAAGGAGACCATGATTAAACTGAAGAAAGAACTTAAATTCCAAAAGATCCGCTCCCAAGGAAATAGTAGAAACAAAATTAATGACTACGTAAGGATCAGTTTCATGTTTCAAAGAGCTAGTACAGTGTTTTTCAAGGATTTAAAAAAAAAAAAAAAAAACATTTTGTCAGCATATTTCTTTTAAGGAGCGTAGTTTAAGTCCAGTAAGCAAAACAGCTGAAAGTGTGGTGTTCTGGCTACAGCCCCTGCCTCCAACTCCCAGTGCCTCCCCTCAAGCTTGTCTGTATCCCCAGGGGAGGTCCAGGGCTCTATGGGATGGATAGTTTCTGATCTCATCACTTCTTAGTAAGCCAGTTCCCAAATCTCACCCAAACAAATTACCTAAGAACAGTAGAGTCATGCCCTCAACTTGTTGCCTGGGATAGCATCAGGAACTTTCTATGTAGGGCAAGGGCTCCGCCTTCTTTCTGGCATAGGAATAAGCCTGAAACTCAAGAGTAGCTAAAATAATCCTGGGTTGTCAAAGGAGTCTATCTGACATTATTGAGTTACCTTTCTGTGTGTCATTGACGAGAAAGGCACAACCCTGGGAAGAAATAGACTGATATTTCCTGGTTTTGTAGGTATGTGTGTATTTGATGTTTTAAAAGCAAGTGTTTTTGGCTCCAATCCCAGACCGCTGAGGACTACTGCTAAGTAAGGGGTCTCTGAGTCTTTCTTCCCTGCCATCCTGGGGTGCCCTTGGCAAGGTAAGGTGAGATAGAAATTACACCTGCCTGCCTGTAGTAAGTGACCACCCCTTGGTGTAGGGTGGTCTTTGTACGAAAAATGTAGGGAGAGTCTCCTTCTAGACCATGATTTTCTCAACCTCAGCACTATTGACATTTGGAGCCCCTTTGTTGTAGGAGTTATCCAAGCACTGTGGGATATATTTTTTAAAAGATTTATTTATTTATACAAAAACTGGGGTACAGGCCAGAAGCGTGGGAGGGTGAGAGGATTCACCAGAGACAGAGCAGGGAGCAGAACAAGCAGTTGGACCGAAAACACTGCTGAGGAGAGCAGCGGGCGAGACTGGAGAGGTCTGCCGTGTCATGTGGATATCTCCCTGGCTGGCAGGGGATCGAACGCAGGCTACAGAGGCTGCAGACAGCTTCACAGCACTGCGTTCAACCCGCTGCGCCACTGTGGAGGCCCCGGGCACTGTGGGATATTTAGCAACATCTCTAGCCTCTACCTACTGAATGTCAGTAGCATCAAAACCCAAACAACAAACCTGTTGAGAAGAAACACCAGACTTTCTAACAGGGCTGCAAGACCTTGTGCACTTGGCTGCTGCCCACTTCTGCAGTCTCTCACCGCACAACTGACACCACCCACACTACCTCTATGTCTATCATGCCTCCCTGGACACAGGCTGAAGCATTGCCCACTCTCCCCTGCAGCCTTCCTGGACCATGAAGACTCACCCAGGGTGCCTGGTTTACCTGGTTCCTTATGCCTTTCCTTCTAGGGCCTATCAGAAGGTGTCATCTTATGATTAATGTTGGTCTGCCCCAGGTACTGTGAATATCATTGAAGGCTTGGCCCTTAACCCTTCAGTCCCCTTGTTCACAACCATTTTTTCTCTGGGCCTCATTTCCCATCACCAGGGAGACATTCCCTCAATGCCCACATCCTAGCCCCAGAGCAGGTAGTTTTCTTTGTTGTGTCTCTTGCAGACCTGGGTGCCCATCCTCTGGTGCGATTGTCTCAGAGTATAATTGTACATTCAGGCTTGTGGTGGTTTGACTGAAATGTGACTACCATCTGTCTCACCAACAAGACTCTAAGCTCCTTCAGGGCAAGAACTTTATTTTATTCAGATAGATCCCTAGGGGCAGTATATATTAGAAGCTCAATAAACAGTTACTGAATTAAAGCTTGTCCTGACCAAGTAAAGCCAGTCCTGACCAAGCTCAAGCTGAATCTGCTCCTTTTCACTTGGTTGACTTATTCTTTGTGTGGCTTGCCTTTAAAACAAAACAAATGAGAAAAAAATCTTAAACAAACCCAACATTTGAAAACATTTTAAATGAACACAGATACAGAAAACCTCAGAGAATAGCAAATGTGCAGCTTAATGAATTAATCCTAGGAAATAACCTTGTCACTGCTGAGTCAAGAAGTAGAATTCTTGTCCCATCCCAAGTACAAGGCCTTCCTTCCCTATAAGTAACCACCAGCTTGACTTTTATAAAAATGACTTTCTTGTTGTATTTTTGTAGTTTGATTATCCAAGTGTGCATCCCCTTACACATAAGTTTAAACTTGCCCTCTTAAACATTTGATATTTCTTTGAAACTAACCTAGATTTTCTCCAGCCATCCTTTTTTTTTTTTTTTTTTTAAGTTTCATTCATTCATGCATACAAGAACTGAGGCACAGGCCAGATGCAAGGAAGGGTGAGAGGATTCACCAGAGACAGAAAAGGGAACAGAACAGGCAGACCAACCGAAACACATTGCTGAGGGGAACAGCGGGCGAGACAGGAGAGGTCTGCTGCGCCATGTGGGACCCTCGCCGGCCTGGCCTGCCGGGATTGAACCCATGCTACAGAGGCTGCGGACAGCCTCTCTCAACCACCTGCGCCACCAGGGGAGGCCCCCAGCCATCCTTTTTTTAACCTTTACAGTTTACCCTTTGAAGAACCCCGGTTCCAGTCTACCTGTAGAATTTCCCAGTCTGGATTTTGCTGATTGCATACTCATGGTGCAGTTCAAATTATTCCTCTTTTCTCTGCATTTCTTGCAAATTGGCAGCTGGATCCAGAGACTTAATCAGGTTCAGGGTCATCCCCTTTGGCAAGACTACAGGAGGCATGCACAGTTCCTTTGTCTCTTTACAATGTCAGAAGTCATTGATACATAATGCCCATATCTGTTAAATCAGTGAGGGAGGGGGATGCCATAATGAGATGATATTCTGATTTTATCTCTTCATTTACTGGTTGGAAAACTTATAAAATGACACTTCCCCTTGACTGTTACTGGTTACTGTTCATGTGGTTTACACAGCAAAGTCAGGACAAATGTTTCTTTCACTTATTTACCAGTTTTCATTTATACAAATTGTTTTGTCCTCCACAGTTAACTGATTATTTTCTAAAAAGTCATTATGAGGGTTTGGATTTAAGCATAATTGTTGTGTTTTGGTCCCTTGAGGTCTTTATGATTGTGACATAGCTGTCTGGGTAACCCTGGTGCCCAGACCGCACATTGGTGCCCGAGAGTAGAGAGGGGTGGTGACAGCATAGGGATTGGGACACCAGGACTGTCCATAGTACCGGGTACCCTGGCAGCACTGTCCATGACCCCTTCCCAGATGGCCTGGGAAAGCCCCTCTTGGTGGACCACATTCCTGCTGCCTCCTCCCAGCTGGTTCCTTTCCTCCCCAGGTTTGGCCGGAAGAACGTGCTGTTTGTCACCATGGGCATTCAGACAGGCTTCAGCTTCCTGCAGATCTTCTCAACAAACTTCGAGATGTTTGCTGTGCTGTTTTTCATTGTAGGCATGGGCCAGATCTCCAACTACGTGGCAGCATTTGTCCTGGGTATGGCCATCAAGTTGGAGTTGAGTACTTGATCCTGTGTTTCACTATCATCCCACTAGTCACCTTCTGGAGGCAGCTGGGACATCCCTCAAAGGGATGTGGTCTCAATACCAGCCAGGGCTTCTTGATGAACCCATTTTATAGGCATGGAAACTGAGTCAACCAAGTGCCCAGCCTTGCATCTCCAGTGGCCATAGCCTGACTGCTGAGTTCACTTCTTTTGTGGCCGCCTTGTTCTTATTAAATGCTTGATGATCATTTTACTAGAACTCACCCAAGATCACCCATTAAAAAAAGGCCTGTCACTTCCCTGCACTAAGTAGCTAAGGAAAGAGGCATGATGTGAATAAGGGCCACAACCGGCGGTATCTCCTAGGAAGAAAACTGCCTCCTCTGCTAACTATTGCAGCCAAGGAAATCGGCTGGCAGGAATGAAGTGATGAGAATGGGCTGTGGTCACATTAATTGAGACTACACACTGTGGGCCTTTGGCATAGTCTCACCGAAAACTCGCCAGTCTCGCTGTCTGAGGGACTTACCCTAGTGTGTTGATTTTTGGGTTTCTTGGATTATATTGTTGAAAGGATTATTTTTTCTTCCCTTCACATTTAATAGAATATTTGCTCCTTAAGTGATAATAGTCAGCACGTGTGGCCTTAGTAATGACTTCTCCTTTAGTGAATTCTTCTTCATGTGAGGATTAAGCGTTGAGGCCTAACACGGCATCTTTAGCATGTGGCTTCGAGCATATGTGAAGCACCCTTGCAGATGCTCAGCCTGGACTGGGTTCAGAATTCCATCCTTTCCTCAGGACTTAGAGACCCAGAATCCTGGCTGCTTTCTTGTCCATGTGTTGGAAATTATACAGCAGAAAACTAATAAGGAAGTAACATGAATTAAAATACTAATTTGACTCCTCCCTTGTTTTGAACAGGAACAGAAATTCTTGGCAAGTCGATTCGTATTATATTCTCCACGTTAGGCGTGTGCCTATTCTATGCAGCTGGCTTCATGGTGCTGCCACTGTTTGCTTACTTCATCAGAGACTGGCGAATGCTGCTTCTGGCGCTGACGGTGCCTGGCGTGCTGTGCGCTGTGCTCTGGTGGTGAGTGTGCACTGGCCAAGGTGCTCACACACAGTATGTCTTCTGTCCGGCGTTCACTAGGGGGCAGCAGCAACTCACAAATCCCTATTTGGCGCCCCAAACAGGATGTTTAGGTTATGTAAAAGTTGTTTCATAGTGTTTTCCCCACACTCAGAAAAGCCAAAACCAAAACGAAACCCCATAACATCAGCAGACTTCTTCTCAGCCCTGTGCTGGGTTGGTCGGAATGCAGGGAAGGTAAGGCAGTAGCTGCAAGACAATGGGGTTGCCAGCGTCACCATCACTGCTAGGAAGATGCTGGACCACAGGACAAGCCAGCTTACACCCTGGTTCTGGCTCTGTGTGGCTGAGGCCTTATGCCACAGATGCTGGGAGAGCGGGGAAAGCACTGGAAGGAAGTGAGAGTCCTCAGGGTTGACCACATAGAGGAAGCCATCAAGTTAGAGGAATTGGACAGGAGAGAGGAGGCTACTCCATACCGGGCATGAACACAGCAGAAGAACCAAGCTGGGAATTGCCTCTTGTGGGTGGAGATGGTGAGATCCTCTGCCCATGTGGCTCTGAGACCATTTCAGAGCTTAGCAGGTGGATGAGGAGACCGAACACAGCATGGATCTGGTCATCATCAGGGCAGGACCTACCTGGCAAGGAGGAAACAAGATCCACAAAGCCTCAGAGCACCCAGGTGCTCTGATTAATGAAAAGAGAGACTAACAAAGCAAATGGATAAATCAGCCGTAGGGGTAGGGAAAACTAGAGGTGAAGAGGCCAGTGTGGAGGCTTTTGTGGATGCTAGAGACAGGCAGGGCAAGGGGCTGGGCTGAGCAGAGCCGAAACCATGACAAACCTGGACTTCAGGGGCCCCCCTTGCGCCTGTGTCCTTAGTGTCCAGAAGGTCATACCACCACTCTTCAGAAATGGAGGGGGCCATCATGGTGTGCAGGCCCCTCCAAATTTTGTGCACACCAGTGTACTCCAAAGCACACCCTCCACATTGTTGCTGGCTCAGAAGCAACAAGCATTCCTCAAACCTTAACTGTACTTCCTACCTCCACTGAGGTTGTGCCTGGTCAGTTGGGCAGGAAGACCTCAGTGAGCTTGCTCCCTATGCTTTCAGGTTCATCCCTGAGTCCCCCCGGTGGCTCATCTCTCAGGGACGATTTAAAGAGGCAGAGGTGATCATCCGTAAGGCTGCCAAAATCAACGGGATTGCTGCACCATCGACCATCTTTGACCCAAGTGAGGTGAGACCAGAGAGGGAGGTCTCGTGGGAGGGTCTCGTGACCAGGATTTGAGGGCAGCCCCACACAGCCCTGAAGCCCTCCCTGGATTCAGGAACCCAACCCAAGACCTGCCCGAGCCTCAGATGCCCACTAGGCAGGCCCTGTTAAAATTCAGAAGTTGAGAAGATGCTTCTTCACCTTTCCCAAGGGTTTTAGGTTTTCATACATACTTAGGTTTATATACTTCCTTTCTAGGCAACCATATAGTTTAACCACTGCTCTTTAATAATAAACATGCTTTATGAGTAGGCCTTTTTTTGAAGACAGCATTTGGGGAAATGGATTCTTATACCTTCAGTAGTTTGTCGCCTTAAAAAAAATCATCCAGTACATAAAATATGAAGCAATAATAGATTGGGAGCTAGAGGATTTTAGTTTCCTTCCACCAGCCAGTTAGCTGTTGTGGAGCAGTGTCCTTTTTGATATCTGCCCCTTCTTCTTACCCTACCCCTCATGGCTAACCCTATCCTCTTACACCATGAGTAATTTCCTGATTCTGTCTGGTTCGTGGGTCTTACTTCTCCTTCCTGTTCCCTCTCCTACCACTCTCTCTAAAAAGCCAGTGCTTTTCGTCATAACTGCAAGAAAAGGTTATAAGTTGTAATTCCTGGCTAATAGGGTTCTGGAATGTGTCTTTGATCTGGTGGGAAAACAAGAGCTGTGAGAACAGCCATCAGCAGCCATGCTCAAGTGTGCGTAGCAGGCGTGGTAGAGATGCTTGGGACTCAAGATGCAGACCTGGGGAAAGAGACCACTTAGTGCAGGCAGCAAAGATGCGTTGGTCACCTACAGCCCTGCCAGCCTCATAGTTAAATGGTGGCCCAGCAGCACCTCCTGCTGAACTCTGGGGAGGGGTCAATGCTCAAGTTGCAGGGCAGAGTAGATGGCAGAGAACTTTTAAGTGAGAGGTCGATCTGGGTGAACCAGTAGCCCCACTGGGGGAAATGAGGGTATTTCAAGGGATCCATTAAGTCAAAAGCTGACCTTGTGTTGAACTGCTAACTCAGGAAAAACAAGCTCCAAAGCTGGGTTTGCTTAAGAGAGCAACATCAGTGTGTTTAGACGTGTGGTTTATTAATGTCCTTGGCTGTGCTGAATTTCATAGGAAGTTACACTGGGTGAAGCCGAGGTCAATTTTCCTGTTTTTGGGGATCTGAAAGTTTTCCTTTGGAAGTAGACCAGAAACTACATGGTATGAAGACTCAAAACATGAATTCTTTTAAAATATCAGCTCAATAAACTACATAGCCAGTTTCTCTCTCTGACCTACAGGGCAGGGAGCCAGCCTTGGGAAGGAATGCTTTAGAGGCCACCCTGGAATGTGGCCACGGTGGAGGCAGGGGGTGGTGCCTTGAAGGAGCTGTGAGCTGGCCTTCCGCCTTGCCCTCAACTCCGAGGGACTGGCCACTACTTTCCTCCTCATTCTTATTCTCTAATTTGTTATTGACAAGGTCTGGGGAAGCCTTCATCAGCCCAGAATACCTTCCCTATACTTAACGCTTCTTTTCAAGAAAGAAACATGAACACTCGCCATCTCAGAGACACAGACACCAGGGTTTAGGGATGTTATTGGATCTCTCTCTACTACCTTCTCTCCCTCCCATACTCATCCTTTTGTTGCTGCAGCTGCAAGACCTAAGTTCTCAGAAGCCTCAGTCCCACAGCATTCTGGATCTGCTCCGGACACGGAATATCCGAATGGTCACCATCATGTCCATAATTCTGTGGTGCGTAAGCGAGACCTGCCTATGGCTTCCAGACAAAGCTGCTGACGATGGTCATTAGGCCCCTCATTTGCATACATGTCTCAGACCAGAACTGATAGCTTGTGTCATCAGAAAGTATTGGTTGTATTTTAAAAGGGACTTGGCTTAAGCGAATAGGGTACGTCACAATTCTTAGCTTGATAGGACCTCAGAAAATTACAATCAAATCTGTTGTGGGGGCTTTGGGAGTGATACGGGATATGCGGGGTCCCTTACAGGTCCTGAGGGTAAATCCTTAATCACTTTGTCTCCTAATTTAATTGTTCCTGGCCCTGCTGCCTCCGACACTGACTGAGGGAGGGGTGAGGCTTTCAAAAAGACCTAAGTGAAGTCATTGAGGTTATAAAGATCGCTAAGCATTTTCTGAAAACATAGAAGCAAGACATCCTCCTCTGGGATGTTTGGAGGCAGGGCCACTGCCTAGATGTCCTTTTCAGCATCCTTCTAATAAGGCATCCCACCCACCAACAGGAGAGGATTTGTGAGTTACCAAAGAGAGGGAATCATCTGAGTTCCCAGATAGCATTTGTTCAATGGCCAGGCCCTTGAGATTACAGACTGCAGCCTGAGCCTGCTGGATAAGAAGTGCAGACTCCATCAAGTAGTCCTTATTACTAGACTCAACCAGCCTTCAGGCAGCCAACCACTTAACTCAGCAGGCGACAGTACTATGAGTCACCCAATTCCAGTGGCCCAGGACCCTGCAAGGAAGTGCGCCACCCCTGCATCCACCTCAAGACAGTTCAGGATTCAGCCCATCTGTATCACAGATGGCCAGCCATCAATGAGTCACCCATTCTATGGTTCATACATCTACCTGCTCTGGTTTTTCCAGCAATGCCTACACATATTCTTTTCCATGAATTGTCCCAGTTGTGGTTTCAACCTGAAGATGAGTCAATAAGTCTAATCCCTGAAAGTCTAATTCACCAGACAGTGTTGATGTCATCAGGGAGATGCCCTCTGAGGCTGGGGCCCAGGCCAGAGTCACCAGGGGACACACAGGTGGGAGCTATGTCCCCCGTGACTTCTGTGTACCAGCCTCCTGACCTGAGAGGGTCTACTTGGGATTTTCAGTGTTTGAACTAATATTGTTTCAATGTTTGAACTAATATTGTTCCTTATTTTGTCTTACCCCTTCCATCCTATCATATCCCACTTGATATCTGCATCCTTATTCCCCAGCTCTTTCTGCAATTGTTGATTTGGGGAGGTCCAAAGAGAAGGAAAGTAGGCTTTAGTGTTTCAGTTTAAGATAAGGCTGAGAGATGGGCTGGGTTTGTTTCCCACTCCCCCGCCCCCCATTAAGTAAATCTGTCTAAACTGTATAAGCCTTTTTATTGAGATACTTTCTGTTAAGAATGCACTGAAAATGCCCTGGCACAGAGTTTACCCTGGGCTGGGGAAAGTTATCTTTTCTTTGAGACTGAGTTGAATCAGCTGCCTCTGTTAGAACAGTTGAATTTCCTGCAGTGGTTGTATATTTTAAAAGTATTTATTTTTATTTACTTATGTATACAAGAACTGGGGTCTAGGCCAGAGGTGTGGGGGGAGGGGATGAGAGGCTTCACCATAGACAGAGTGGGGAGCAGAACAGGCAGAATAATGGAAATACAATGCTGAGGGGGGCAGCAGGCGAGACAGGAGAGGTCTGCTGTACCATGTGGGTCAGCTCCCTGGCTGGGGATTGAACTCGTGCTACAGTGGCAGCAGATAGCTTCATAGTGCTGAGACTTAACCCCTTGCACCATGCATTGGTTGTATTTTAAAAGCTGTCCTGGTTGGGCAGCATGTGGATGCAGCTTCTCCAGCTTTCTAATGCACTGTTTCAGGTTGACCATATCAGTGGGCTATTTCGGTCTTTCCCTTGATACTCCAAACTTGCACGGGGATATCTACGTGAACTCCTTCCTCTCAGCAGTGGTGGAAGTCCCGGCCTACACTTTGGCCTGGCTGCTGCTGCGGCATCTGCCCCGGCGCTACTCCATGGCTGCCGCCCTCTTCCTGGGTGGCAGCGTTCTTCTCTTCGTGCAGCTGGTACCTCCAGGTAGGTCGATAGTGCTGCTGTAGTCTTGCATCTTCATGAAATCACTGTCTATACCAGGCTGTTGCAAAGAGAATAAAAAAACATGCCCTTCTAGCTCCCCTGTGCATCTGCATGCTCAGCCAAATCAAGAGAAAAATACCTCCTGAGACCAAACACTCATCAGGGGAGTAGGAAGAGCACCTATGTGGGGCTGGTGGTTAATTTGACTCTCCCCAAGTTAATGTGTGTGTATTTGTTTTTTCTCTCCAGAAGAAAGAGCAGAAAAGAGAGCCACCCCCATTACTTTTTCACCTGGCCTCCTTGTCTTAGTCATTTATTTATTCAGCAAGTAACCACACAGTAGGCTAGGCACTGTGATGCAGGAATAATTAAGTGGGGAAGAACCCCAGGTCCTCAAGAAACTTGCGCTCTGGTTGACAGGCAACAAACAAGTACATGAAAGGCTTGCTGCAGTGTAGAGGGTGTCACTGTTATAATAACAATAAAGGATAATAGAGAGCTCGTTCGTGTAGAGTGGTCATGAATAATGTCTTTGAAGAGAGGCCAGTTGAGCAGAAACGTAGATGAAGTGATGTAGAAAGCCATGAAGATGTTTAGGAGCAGAACATTCCAGGCTGAAGTAACAGTGATGGCAAAGATCCTGAGGAGGGAATGAACCTGGCATGTGTGAGGAAGAAGAGGGAGCTGGTAAGAGGTGAAGAAGTGACCAGGTCTCAGAGAGGGTTTCACAGGCCATCGACAGGGTTTTATTTTTAAAACCATCTTGGCATCCCGCCAGATGGTTCAGAGGCTGCCCCTTTTTGGCAACACATGGAACGGCCTGTGGGCCTTCAGATGTGTACATCATGGTACCCATGGATTGGAGGCCTCCAGGGTTGGTCATTGGGCCCAAGGCTGGTTACACTGCACAGCACCAGCCCCCACTGCAGCATGGCAGGGGCACCAGGGACATAGGTAGAGGTTCACACCAAAACCAGGGTGTGGGCCTCCCCTGGTGGCGCAGCGGTTGAGCGCTGGGCTGCGAGGCTGCCCACAGCCTCTGCAGCACCAGTTCGTTCCCCGGCCACTGGCGAGGGTCCCACAAAAAGCAAAAAACAAAACAAAACAAAAAAAAACAAAACCAGGGTGACCCCCAGGCCACTCACAGCGTCCTCTCATTGGCACTGCGAGCAGGATAGTGGAGAGGATGGTTCCCCTGGTTCTGCTGACCTGTACATTGATTTTGCATGAACGTGTGTAATGTGTTGGAACTGAACTCTCCATTCACTCACAAGTCACTAATTCCCACTGCAGTGCCTGCCACAGAGGGTCTGGGGTACCAGCTGACCCCTCAACAGATGTCTGTAATGACTTCTGGATGGAAAGCAGGTTTATGTGGGCAATTGAGGGGCTCACTTTGGTGATCTTTAGGCTGAAGAGAAGAGCGTGTCCTCAGGCAACTGCAGGTGTCAGCCTCCACTCACTAGTCAGCTTGGAGGGAAGGCTTGGCTATAGCTTCTTATCCCACAATAAGAAGTTCTAGATCAGCCCTACTCCCCATCCCGCTCTCCAAAACAAAAACAGACCAAAAATGCTCAGTAGCAGTGCACTTAGAGCTGATGCCAACCCCATTTTCCTTTCTTTGCCTCTCCAGAGTTATATTATTTGGCTACCACCCTGGTGATGGTGGGCAAGTTCGGAGTCACTGCTGCCTTTTCCATGGTCTACGTGTACACAGCCGAGCTGTACCCCACAGTGGTCAGAAACATGGGTGTGGGGGTCAGCTCCACAGCGTCCCGCCTGGGCAGCATCCTGTCTCCCTACTTCGTTTACCTAGGTAAGTCCCTTGGGCCTAGGACATGCAGGGGCCATAGAGTAGAAGCGCTGATTGGCCTTAATGTGAGTTGGAGGTGGCCTGTTATCAGGAAAACAGACACACACACAGCAAATGGAATTCATTCAGTGCTGGATTTCAGCCTGGAGAGGTCTTCTGGCAGAGTGCAGTTCCCTTAACATAACTTGTTGGTTCCCTAAACCAACAAGTTTCATGGGAGAAATTTCTTCTTGGAGTCAGAATTTAAAAGGACCATGAAAGGCACAATATCTATTTAAGGTTTGATGAGCTGAGAATTCTTGTAACTGGAAGCACTTTATACAGTGGTTTTGTCCCATGTAAAGAGCTGCCTGGTGCCATTTTCCGTAACAGGGCTCCAGCTTTCCTCTAATTTATTTCTTCCTGGCAGCTGTTGTTCCCGGGCTTGTCCCTAGCCAGCACACCTTTGGGAAGGGGTGGCACCCACCTTGAGAGTACCCAGAATCCCTTATGAGCATGCCGCATAGATCTGATGATAGAGGCACCTTCTTATCTAGCTGTAAGGCAAATTGAACAGGTTGTGACACATCTGAAGAGGTGGAGGAATTATTCCTGTCCCTGGACGAATACCTTGAGTTCCTTGGAAATCCAGCATTGGGACAGAGGAGTCGTAATCATTCCGGCTCGGTCCCCTCCTCCTGGCCTCTTCCCTCCCCTCTACTGGGAAGCACTGCTGGACCTCTGGGCATGTCTGTGCCAACCCTGAGTTCTGAGGCCTGTCCAGGTGCCAGCATCCAATCTGGCAGTCAGACTGCAGGAGATGCTGGGCTGAGAAAGCTGGTGATCCCTTTAGAGTCCTGAGAGTGTAAAGGGAGGGAGGAGGAGAACCAAGTCTAACCACCCACCCCTGCCCGGGTTTGGGCTCTGTCTGCTTTGCCATAGGTGCCTATGACCGCTTCCTGCCCTACATTCTCATGGGAAGTCTGACCATACTGACAGCCATCCTCACCTTGTTCCTCCCAGAGAGCTTTGGCACTCCCCTCCCAGACACCATTGACCAGATGCTAAGGGTCAAAGGGTAAGGAGGTCCCCTTCTTCACAGTGTTGATGCACTAGGCATGGACCCCGCCAGATTTCAGGAGCCCTATAGACACTCCCTTATGAATGCTGTGGGCTAGCTTAGCCACCAGAGCGTTAGAAACAGCAAGGTAGGGCCTCCCTGGTGGCAAAGTGGTTAAACACAGCACAATGAAACTATACGCAGCCTCTGCAGCAGAATTGGATCCCCGGCTGGCCAGGGAGATACCCACATGGCCCAGCAGACCTCTCCTGTCTCACTGCTGCTCCCCTCAGCAGTGTATTTCAGTAGATCCGCCTGTTCTGCTCCCCACTCTGTCTCTGGTGAATCCTCTCACCCCCTGCACCTCTCGCCTGTACCCAAGTTCTTATATGCATAAATATAAATCTTAAAACAACAACAACAAGGTGCTTATAGTCTTCTCTGATCTGACCCAGACCACTCTGTTGCTGTGTATGTGCCCACAGTGCACAGAGAGAAACCTTTCAGAATCTGCTATGTGATTTTTTTTTTTTGCCATCCTGCCCCCACCCTCAGTGAGACCCCCAGTTCTGGGTTTTGTTTTGTTTGAAACATATCTTTTTATGATCTTTCACTAAAATTTGTTTTGCTTGTTTTTATAGACTAAAATATAGGCAAACTCCAAGCCACACAAAAATAATCAAAGATGATGAAGAAAGCCCTACAGTCCTTAAAAGCACAGCCTTCTAACAAAAACTCCAGAAAGTGAGAATGTGAAGATGAAAGACTGCGTCTTTTCAGAAATGACCTGTGCAGACATAGTCCTCCCATGCAAAGGTCTTTGCTGTTCCTCTTGTTGACCCTGTGTCTGACTTGCAGGTAAAGGGACGCCCAGCCTTGGAGGCCCAGGATGGTCCTAGAGCACCATCTTCCCTCCAGCGACGCCATGCTACCTACCGACAGCCAGCCTCAAAGCAGTCCTAACTATTGCAGTGATAGACTTGGCACTTTCTAAGATGTTAACTATTCACTAGGACCAGTGGAATTTGGAAGAATATGAAAGGCATCTGCTAAACTTTCATCTCATTTTCAGACTGCCTGATAAAAGTGGAGGTCTGGTCGCCTCCCACACCACCCCCAATTTTTCCCCCTTTCTTTCTAATGGTGCACTTTAGAGGAAAAGAAATAATTTCACAGGGAGTTTGATTTCTAGCTTTTGCTGCTTCCCCAGGGCAGGAAAGGAAAGCACGGGTCTGGGGAAACGTAATTAATTTGGAGGGACCTGAGCATACGGGCAAGTGCGTTGATCTGTGAGCTTTTGGACACTCGGTGTGACAGCTGGGTAGACTTGTTTACGTCTGGTCAAAGCACAGGGCTTGTCCAGGTCCATGGAGATGCCTCACTGACTCCACTCTTGCTGTCAATGCTATGTAAGTCAAACCTCCTGGCTACTGTGGTTTCTTATAGTAGGGCTTGAAGGAAGAGAGAGAGAAACACAAACTTGTCTCTTCTCTTAAAACTATAACGTAGATTTTATTTGTTTGTTCTGTTTGTGTTTGTTGTCCTGTCTTTTTCTCCTTAAGTTATTTGCCCTTCAGAATTGACTTGGGAAAGGCTGGTTCCTTCATCTCCTGATTTTTGTCCTTTTGTTTTTTTTGTGTGGGTTTGTTTTTTGTTTTTTTTTTTTTTTCTGTAACCCAGAATCACTCTGGCAATGCTCTGCTGTTGCCACTTGTGCAAGGCCTCCCCAGTCTTAGCCACTAGTACTTCTCTGAGTGCCAAAAGTGATGTTGTTATGTGTGCTCCTTTTGTGATACCTAATCATGGGGGGAAATTATAAAAAAGGGACATATTGTGTTCACAGTCTTTCAGAGTTGCTCATGTCAGTTGTGTCACATTAGGAGATATTTTGTGTTTAGATTGTCCTCTCTTTTCTGATTATGTTACCATGGTACTCCCAAAGAATGTGTTTCACCTGATTAAAAAAAACCTTATTTTTGTGAAAGCTACTGAAGTGCCTTGGGAAATGAAGAAGTTTTAATAAATAAAATGATTTTTTAAATAATAGCAACTGCCTAAAACTTTCTACCATTGTTAAGTCTTGCCACACTCCACCTGATGTGCCAGCTTGGGCTGATTCTAGCAATGATTTGCTACTAGTCTCTAAGGCTGATTGAATCCCGTGAGCTAGGAACCTCCATCCCATCATTATTGTGCACTCTGCCAGCCTTCTTATTCAAGTGTCGTAGCCAGGATTCCAGAAAGCACATTGCTTCTGTACAGTTAGGCAGTTTATTGCAGAACAAATCCAGGGAGCAGGAGTAAAGGATAGGCCTGAGGAAACAGGAAGAGGCGGAAAACCAGCACAAGGATGCATTGTGTTATCAGCTGGGACGGCAACAAGGTTCTCTGCTCAACCCAACCAGAACTTGTGAGGAGCACTGTGAAACGTATTTCAAAACCCTCTGCACCGTGGAGCAAAGGGGGAAGCATTTATCTATCGGCTCTCATTCCCCCTTCAACAAAGGTGGCCCCATAGATGTCAGCTCCCCACACTTCCAAGTTGTACATACCTGAGTCCCACCAAGTCCTGTCATCTTGGTAGAAAGCAAGAGGTGATAGAGAGCTGGCCCGAGGAGAGGCACTATCAGGGTGTACCTCAACGAAGCTTGTCAAAACTTGTGTGAACAAACCACTGCAAAAGTGGCTGGAGTAAAGGATGGTTGGGGGAGGGGAGTGCTGGATGAATTGAGGGGTAGACAAAATGTCAGGTATAGATAAGATGTGAGGTGTCACAGGGCGATTTGAGCTAGAGTGCATGGGCAGACCTGGGTAGAAAGCTCCATCTTTGGAAAATTAACATAAAGGCATACTGCATAACAAAAGAAGCAGCATGAAAGTCAGGTATAAAGGAAGGAAGCTACCTTCCTAACACCACAGGCTTCTCCACTCTCCTAGAACCTAGTTCCATGCTGGGTTCCTGATTAGCTGACTTCATAGTGATTTCTTGGCTATGACACCAAAAGCACAGCAACCAGTGGGGAAAAAGTAAATAAACTGAACATCATAAAAATTTAAACCTTGTTTTATGTCAATTACATCTTATTAAAGCCAGGGTGGACTGAAAACTTTTGTGCAACAAAGGATACTATCGAGAGTGAAAAGGCACCCCACAGAATGGGGGAGAAAATATCTGTAAATTAGATACATAGTAAGGGGTTAATATCTAAACTATATAAAGAATAATATCTAAACTATATAAAGAACTCTTACAACTCAAAAATAAAAATAAAAGTGGATAAAGGAATTGATAAGCACATGAAAAGATATTTAGCATCACTAACTAGGGAAGTACAAATCAAAATTACAGCAAGATTCTACTTCACAACCTTTAGGATGCTGTTATTAAAAACATAAATAGAAAATAAGTATTGGAGAGCTGGAAAATTGGGAACCCTTGTGCATTGCTGGTGGGAGTGTAAAATGGTAATGCTACAATGGAAAATAATATGGTGGAGGGCGGGAGGGGAAGGATTGGGGTCAGAATGGGGCGTTTGCAATTGTATGGGGGAATATAAAAATAAAATTTAGTATTAAAAAAAATAATAATAATATGGTGGTTCCTCAAAAAATTAGAATTACCATATAACTCAGCAATTCCACTTTTAGGTATACACCTAAATAAATAGAAAGCAGGGACTAGAGCAGATTTTTGTACACCTATGTTCACAGCAGCATTATTTCCAATACACAAAAGGTGGCAACAACCCAGTGGCCATCAACAGATGAGAGGATGACTGGTTGTATATACAATAAAGTTAACAAGGAAGGAAATTCTGATATATGCTGCAACATGGATGAATCTTAGAAATATTATGCTAAGTTAAAGAGACCAGGTACAAAAGAACAAATACTGTAATTCTATTTTATGAGATTCCTAATCAAATTGCTAGAGACAGAAAGTAGAATAATGATTATCAGAGATTGGGGGGAAGAGGTAATGTTAGTCATTCAGTGGCTACAGTGTTTAAGTTTGAGATGATGAAAAAGTTTTAGAGATGGATGATGATGTTGACTGAACAACAATTTGTATTTGATGCCAATGAATTATGCACCTAAAAGTGGTAAACTTTATATTTTATCACAAAGGTTAATTTTTTTAAAAAATTGTTCAGCAATAAATAAATATTCTTAAATATTAAATTCAAGCATTAAGGGACCCGTGAATACTTTTTTCAAGTAACTAAAAATGAAATCCAACCAATTAGTAAAAATTCACTTGTAATTCCTAACAAAAAGCTAATTTACCTAATAAAAAATATATCCTATAAACAAATCAAGAACCCCAATAGAAACTGGGAAAGAGACAAACAATACATAGAAATTGAAGTACAGATGACTTTTAAACATGAGAAAAATCTATACCTCACTCCTAATAAAAAACAAATCAAAACTATTGATATATTGAGATATTTCTTACCAACTTATTCTTTCCATATCAAGGCAAAGAAAAATGTACTAACGTTTTCTTAATATTAATAATTTGGGGGTGGTAAGATTTGGGGGAGCTTTTAAAGCATTCATTGTATTTCTATGGTTTATATTTCTTATAATGAGCATATATAAGTTTTGAAGTAGATTTTAATTTAAAAATACTACTGAGGGGCCTCTCTGGTGGTGCAGGGGTTAAAGTCTTAGTGCTGTCAAGCTATTACCAGCCACTAGAGTTCAATCCCCAGCTAGGGAGCTGACCCACATGGCTCAACAGACCTCTTCTATCTCACCCACTGTTCCCCTCAGCAGTGTATTTCAGTCAGGCTGCCTGTTCTGTTCCCCACTATGTCTCTGGTGAACCCTCTTGCCTACACCTCTGGCCTAGACCCCAGTTCTTGTATGCATAAATAAATCTTTAAAAATAAATTAAAATACTACTGAGTGTAAATATGCAAGATGATAACAAGGATGAATTATTTCCTTCTGTGCACTTTTCAGTATTTCTTTAAAAGTCCAACCCCTCCCAAACTTTCCCATATTTTTAATGCATTTTCAGTCCTCATATGACCTACTTCCAGTGTAATATTTCTCCTTCATACTCTTGCCTTTAGCCATACAGTGTCTTACTTCCTTACTGATCATCCCAGTTCTGTGCATAGTGAGGGTTCACCTCAAGTAAATTCTCTTCCTGGGAGGCACAAAAGTTATTGGCTAAGTGCTCAGTGCTCATACCCACAACAGATAGATTATGTGGTCTAAAAGTAGGCTTCTCCACTTATTAGCTTTCTATAAATTTGGGCAATTCACGTAACCTTTCTGAGACTCAGTTTCCTCATCTGGAAAACACGACCTATCTTGTTGGAGGTTTGTAAAGATAAAATCATACATATAAAGTGCTTAGCGGAATTAAATTTGTGTAGACAGTACTGTTATTGCTATTTTTCTTGATCTTCCTGATGATTATCAACTCTATAAATAATCTCTATCACATTTTGTTTGGTTTCATGAAAGAAATTATCTTTGAGAAAAATGATAGGTCTTCTATTCTTAAAGTTTTTAAGTAGTATATACACTTTACATTTGGTAGGGTTTTTTTTTTTAAAGATTGATTTATTTATACATACAAGAACTGGGGTGTAAGCCAGAGGTACAGGGAAGGGGTGGGGGTAAAGGATTCACCAGAGACAGAGTGGGGAGCAGAACAGGTGGATGTACTGAAATATACTGCAGTGGGGGATACAGGAGGAGAGGTCTGCTGTGCCATGTGGGTTAGCTCCCTAGCTGGGAATGAAACTCATGTCGCAGTGGCTGGTGATAGCTTGAGGCCCAGTAGGTTTTTGGTTTTTTTTTTTAATTTAACAAAATATTTTTACTCATTCATCCCTTAATGAAGCCCTCAGAAAAACTCTTTTTAGTTAAGCAGACTCATGATATCTGGGTTTCCTGGAAGACAAGTAACAACATTGGAAAATCACGTATTGGCAGCCTGTACACTTCACTGTGAGATGGGTATGGGTTGCCGGGCATCTGTGGTAAGTGAAGGAAATGTCGTTTGACCTATGACAGAGCTCAGTGTTCACACACTCAGAAGTCAGGAACCAGTGTTGACCCTGAACAGCTCTACTCTCACAGGTGATTCATTCAGAGGGGCTGCTGATGACTTTATTCCATGCTGCCAGCTCTCCTAGGGAACCTTGCTCAGGGTGACAGACAAGCTATATAAATCCTTCAGGAACACTTATAAAAGACCACCCCTTCCTCTCAGAAAACCAGCCCCCACAAAAGCAAAATTATTTATCTTTGATTGTTCAAGTAACATTGTCAACTCCCTTTCTATGTTTTCACTTTTGTCTCCTCTTTCTATTTCCTGAACCTCATCAAAGTAGGTCTGGTCTACTTTGCCCTCCAGGAGTCAAGAATTATTGTCTTGTAACAAGGAAGAGACTTCAAGGCTTGATTTTTTTTTCTTTTCCCTCATCCTACCCACCCAAACCATTATCTGCTAGAAGAGGAAATATGGGCTACTGTTTTCTAAGACCATCACTTGGCCTGTCCCACTTCACCTGCTCTTTTTTTATTTTGGAGCTCTACCATTTTTAATGGTTGCATAATATTCCATGCTAGAGCTGTATCTTTATTTTTTAATAACAATTTTTATTACGGAGGTAACACTGGTTTACAACATCCTCTTGTTCTTAAGGGAAATACCGCAAGGACTCATGGAAAGCCATAACAGTAGTCACCCATCAAAGCCTCTATCACGCAGGGAAGGCGCCCAAGTTACAAATACAAAACAAGGTGACTCTGGCCGATTAAGCAGTTTACTTTGTTTTCTGCTCCAGCGATCAGACTGCTCTATAACACAAACCAAGTAAATACACGGCACATTCCCCCACTACCCCGCACACCCAGGATCAAGAACCTGGTACCTGATGAACAGAGCCAGGCTGGAAGCAGGCACGGTGCGTGCGGCCAGATTGGCGGTGGGTCCAGTGCGCGCGCCCGGGCTGAGGAGAGACCGGCTGACCCCAGGGCCCGCGTGCGAAACCCTCCTCGGCTCACTCAGCGTCTCCACCTGAGCCCCTCAGGCTTGTTCTCACCGGCCTCCTCAGGTCAAGACCCCTCGAGGCGCCGCCAGCCTCCAGGCCCCAGCAGGCGCTGAATGAAGGGGGGGGGGGTGCAGCCCCCCTGACCGGGGCGCCTTGGGCCCCGCGCCCGCGCCTCGGGTCCCATAATTTGCTGTTCCGCTGCCCGACCTCCTGCCCGGCGCCGCCTCGCCGAGACAGGTAAGGCCGCGGGCAGGTCACTGGCCTCAGGACCGAGGGAGCTCGCGCCGCACGACGCCCGTCAGGCCGCGCGCAGCCCCGGGGCCGAGGCCCCCACCGCTGGCTGCCGGCCCGCGCGCGGCGCTCACCGCTCGGCCGGGTCCCGCCTCTCGGCGGTTTTCGCTTTCATTTTCCTGCCGAAGTCGCTGAGGAAAATGAAAGTGACCCGGGCCAGGGCCGGCGAGCTCTTGTCCGGGGCGAGGGGCGCAGAGTGCGGCAGCCGCCGACCCGGAGCCCGGGAGCCGGGGCCGCGGCCCGCC